ATGACGTAAAGTAAGTTCACTTTCGCTTTTGCTCTCGTGGATAGGGAAACCTTTACACACAGACATCCATTAGCCTATAAATAATTCATTTTGTTTGTTAAGCAAAAAGATTTGTTTCAAAACTATTTCTAAATTCAGTTCTAATTTCCAGCAAACGAATAAATGAACAATAATAACCAAGTGTGGTCAAAATACTGAGTTATTTCCAAATACACCTGCCATGCCCCATATTGTCTAAAACCTGACAGGTGGGCAAATCTAAGCTTGTTTTTAATAAAACAAATATAAATATGGATATAATAAATAATACTGCTAATAATAATAACATTATACAAAAGCAAATTGTTATGAATGAACTGAAAAAGCCTCCCGAGATGAAGAAAGTATGAAGGCAGTGGTTTTTAAATTCATGTAGGCTAGAAATTAATATGTTATTAAATTAATATCCTTTATATATCCTTAATATATTATATCTTTTTCACATGTAAAGATATTTGCGTATTGCATCTTGTGTGTAGTGTGTGAGCCAGGCGCACTTTGCGCCAGACAATAGACCGACTTTGTTCTGGTTTAAAGATCAGACTATTTACAGTTTCTCAAAATAGCAACGCGCCAAAACACGGCTGCTTTTTTAGACTAGAACGTCTATGGGCGCAAATGCATTTGCTATTTAAACAGCGTGACGCAACACCTCAAAATGACCCTTGCGCCAAGCTTAAAGTACCAAAAGAGTATTGCGCTGCGCCTTGCGCCACATTACGCCGGGTGTATGATTGGGCCCTAAGAGTTGTGTTGTTTCAGCTCATTTTAAATAAGAAGTTTGAGCAAGAATCAGTGTACCATCTCCACGCTCTTAACTATGACCCGTCCATGCCTCCTCCAATATAAGACGGAGTGTAAATCCGCCAAGCTCCTAAATGAGTTGTCATGTAGTGGATGTGAGTATCACTTCCTGACAGGGTGGCTGTAAATGCAAGTGACTTGATGAATCCGACCTGGCAAATCTAGGTCACTGAGACCCAGTGCTGTAAATGTGGACCATTCTGGAGCTAATGCTGCAGGCGATGGCCTCAGGTTTTACTATCTATAGACGTCAGACGAAAAGGGGATCTGTAGGCGAAACCAAAAGAGCAGCACGAGATCATGTTTTACTGCTTATACCATTGAGCATTCACTGACTCCACCTCAAAGAGTTCAGCTCCAAAACTCAAGACTGCAAGACCAGAGGACCCGCGACAGAACCCTGAGGTGTTCCCAAAGGTGTATATAGGAGGCCCTACACTATTTATTTTGCTTATTCATTTTCCTTCGGCTTAGTCCCTTTATTTTTCAGGGGTTGTCACAGCAGAATGAACCGCCAACTATTCCAGCATATGTTTTACACATGTGGATGCACTTCCAGCTGCAACCAAGTACTGAGAAACACCCATACACATTCACACTCATACACTACAACCAATTTAGCTTCTTCAAATGCCCTATAGCGCATGTGTTCGGTCTGTGGGGGAAACCGGAGCACCCACAAAAAACACACGCCAACATGGAGAGAACATGCAAACTCCACATAGAATTGACAACTGATCCAGCCAGGACTCAAACTAGCGACCTTCTTACATGGATGTATTAATTACATTAAAATTTGATTGGTTAGACCCTCACCATACAAAATATGAAACCTATATAATTTGTAGGTACTGTATAATTTATAGTTCTACGCATATATTAGTGCCCCTTATTTTCCTAGGGCCCTAATCAGCTGCTTATTGGTTCAATTCACTCCTGGGTTTTCTTATTAAGAATGCATCGCATGCCGACTTGTGTGTGCAGAGGTCTTTCTAAGTACATGAAGTCATTGCTGCTTATTACAGGGGGTGGGAAGGACAGCATTTTATATACCTATTTATTAATAAATTTGCACAAATATATCCTGAAACATCAACCATTATTCCAGTCTGCATCATTTCTGCATGTTTTCAAGTGATGAGGTCTACAATATCTGCAAAACAGCCATCAACAGTTGCATTCATCTCAATGGAGTTTAACTGCATGCACTACAAATACACAACTTTGAATGCAATGTGATTAATCACTCTGTAAACATAAGGAACTTGTAATTAGATGAAATAAAAATAATAATAAACAATAGTAATAAAATAAAAATCAAATTGCAGTGGTTTGGGTGTCTCTAGTCAAAGCCAATCACTTTACATCGATAGCACGTTTCACTATAGATTCACTAAGCATGTGGGGTGCATACGGAGAGGAAAAGAGTATCAACTACAGGTGGTCTGTCAAGCCCACTCACCTGCGTGAAGCAGACTATGAATTTTAACCATGTGAAGTTCTTGAATTAATGTGTTGTAGTGATTTTATTGCAGTGGGGTTTGCTAATTGAAAATAATTAGTGAATTGTTTTACTTACAATTTGCATTATATCACAGGACTGATTCGGGAGATTTGGGTCAAAAGTTACCACATGACCACATCAAATTAAATGAACATAATGTATTTTAGAAAGCGAGTCACAGAAAGCACAGTAAATGAAAGTGTGCAGTGTTTAGTTTGTCAAGTCAACATCATCTGTTTTCCACACAGCCACATGCTGGAACGGGTAAGCTGAGCTTCATATCAAAATTTAGTTGGTAGGTTGATTACTCTTTATATAGTCTGTCACAATGTAATAAGATCTAAAATACATTTGCGGGTTCTGAAATGTTTCCTGACAGGAATCTCAAATACACCCTTGTTGATTTTTTTAATTAAAAATGCATTTCTTAAATTGCATCATGCTTATTGTAATAATAATCAGAAAGCTAGATAAAGCTTTCTCAACATCCTCAAATGCAGACCTAAACTCATCTTTATCTCTACAGTGATAATTTTAGATATTTCAGATATAATTTTGATCGAGTCAAAGCAACTTAACATGGATAAAGAAAGGAGATCAAGGTAACACTTTACAATAAGGTTCATTAGTTAATGCATTTACTAACATGAACTAATCATGAACAACACATGTACAGCATTTATTAATCATAATTGAATATTTACTATTGCATCAATAACATTTAAGTGCTTTTTAACATTACTTAATGCACCATGAGTTAACATGAACTAACAATGAACAACTGTATTTTCATTAACTAACGTTTATTAACATGAATAAATACTATAGTAAATGTATTGTTCAATGTTTGTTCATGCATTACTTAACATTAACTAATGAACCTTATTGTAAAGTGTGACCGAGATCAAAAGCCGTACATTTATAACTTGTGGAACATTCCAGCAATTCAGGCAGGCAGGAGATTAGTGGTGAATGCTGGGGCAGTTCTAGTTCTTTCTGTAAGCAGTGTCCACTTCTATTGCTACAATATACAGCTTCAAACTTTACTTTTTTCTTAGCAAAAACTGATAACCATAGCATGGCGATACTAAAATGTCAAATATAATTATTTATTAAAGAAAATCTAAACTATTTGAATTTTGAAAATTATAATAACATTTAATTTGATGACTTACTGTATCATACATTAGAATATACAGATCAGAACAATTACTTTGAGTCATTTTTACGTGAGCTTGTGCACTCACTGGCCACTTTATTTACATTGTCCAACTGCTTGTTAATGCAAATATCTAATCAGCCAATCACATGGCTGCAACTCAATGCATTTTGGCATATAGACATGGAAAAAACGTTGCCTGCTCTGATGAGTCTCCATTTCTGCTCCCACATTCTGATGGTTGGGTCAGAATTTGGCGGCAACAACATGAAAGCATGGATCATCCTGCCTTGTATCAGCGGTTCAGGCTGGTGGTGGTGGTTTAATGGTGTGAGGGAGATTTTCTTGGCACACTTTGGGTTCATTAGTACCAATTGAGCATCAACGCCACAGCCTACCTGAGTATTGCTGCTGACCATGTCCATCCCTTCATGAGCACAGTGTCTCCATCTTCTGATGGCTACTTCCAGCAGGATAACGCAGCATGTCATAAAGCTCAATTATCTCAGACTGGTTTCTTGAACATGACAATGAGTTCACTGTACTCTAATGGCCTCCACAGTCACCAGATCTCAATCCAACAGAGCAGCTTTGGGATGTGGTGGAACGGGAAATTGGCATCATGGATGTGCAGCCGACAAATCTGCAGCAACTGCGTGACTCTATCATGTCAATATGGAGCAAAATCTCTGAGGAATATTTCCAGTAGCTTCTTGAATCTACACCATCAAGCAGTGGTCACTAAACTTGTTCCTGGAGGGCCGGTGTCCTACAGATCTTAGATCCAACCCTAATTAAACACACCTGAACAAGCTAATCAAGGTCTTACTAGGTATACTTGAAACATCCAGGCAGATGTGTTAAAGCAAGATGGAACTAAACCCTGCAGGGACACTGGCCCTCCAGGATCCGAGATTAGTGACCCCTGCCATAAAGGATTAAGGCAGTTCTGAAGGCAAAAGGGGGTCCAACTCTGTACTAGTAAGGTGTACCTAATAAAGTGGCCGGTGAATGCATAGGTGTCAGAATACATGCCACAGTCAAAAGCTTTTTGTTGCCTTATGTTTTTTTTTAAAGTTGAACCAAATGAACCATAAGTAATTTAAATTTACATGATTTAAAATGACTAAAAACAAAGTTTTAATTTGCATAACTTTTATTTGGAAATATAAACCTATAAATAATATTGCTTTTCTGCCAAATCAATCATTCAAAATTTTATTTTTACTTTTTTTTTTTGCAACATTAAAGTATATATATATTTTTCACTTCAATTTAATATTTTGGAAAAAAAAATAATTTAGCAAATTTGCAGACACCAAAATGAGACTGCACGTCTTTGACCCTTATTACCCCTATTAACCTTTGACCCTTATTTCGTAAGTGTTTGCACAAGATCTCATTTGTGCACGGATGTGTTGTATTTCAAATCTTATCTGACGTGAGAATCAGACTCAGCAGACTATAAATATGAGTCAGTGGATCTGTGTGAACATCTTTGTTCCACTGAAAACAACCATGCTCTTCCTCAGTGTCCTCCTCAACTGTGAGTATCATTATTATAATTTACCTTTTCATTCAGCTCAAAACTCTGACAAAGCTTCATGTACAGTGAACGCTCATGCTCAGCAGCACTTTCAGATTGCAGTTTTGTTGTTTTAAACATTTACACTGTAAAAACTGCTCTTCTTAAGGTTTTTGTCTTGTTTCTAGTCCAGATATCTAAACGTTCTTCAATTAAGAAGCATTTTCTAGACAAACAAATAGCAACACATATTGTCTTGTTTTAAGAAAGTCAAAATTAAATGATTTTTTGTTAAAACAAGCTAAATAATCACTTACACTGCAAAATAATCTTAGGGTAAAACAAAAAACAAGATTACATTGCAAAAAATGCTTTTCTTACTCAGATTTTTTGTCTTGTTTCTAGTCCAAATATCTTAAAATTCCTAAATCATGAAGCATTTTCTAGACAAGAAAAACACATAGTCTTGTTTTCAGAATTAATATGCCAAAATTAGGTGAGTTTTTCCTTAAAACAAGCAAAATAATCTGCCAATGGGGTGAGCAAAATAATCTTACGTCAAAAGAAAAAAACAAGATTATTTTGCTCACCCTATTGGCAGATTATATTGCTTGTTTTAAGGAAAAACTCACCTAATTTTGGCATATTAATTCTGAAAACAAGACTATGTGTTTTTCTTGTCTAGAAAATGCTTCTTGATATAAGAAATTTTAGATATTTAGACTAGAAACAAGACAAAAAAATCTAAGCAAGAAAAGCATTTTTTGCAGTGTACCCAATGGGGTAAGGACAATATGTCATTCAAAGCGAAAACAAGATAATTTCTCTTACTCCATTGGCAGATTATTTTGCTTGTGTTACAAAAAAAAAAGGTAAAATGAAAAGTTTTTTCCAGAAAAAAAGACAGTGATTATTTTTATGGTCTAGAAAATGCTTCTTTATTTAAGAGTTTTAAGATAAGGATTTTTTTGCAGTGTGTAGGACTTTGAACACTGAAAGATTAGCAGGTATTTTAATGCTTTATCTCGTATTTTTGTCTTTCAGTGGTTCAGATGAACTCCAGACTGCTGATACCTACAAGTATTTCACTGATCTAATCAACTATAATCAAACAAAAATCACCTGACTTCATTGTGAAGTCCAGTTTTACATTTCAGATGTGTGTGTGTGTGTGTGTGTGTGTGTGTGTGTGTGTGTGTGTGTGTGTGTGTGTGTGATGCAGTATCTGGAAATACTATCCTCTTATTTTTTTAATATTGAATGACACTTAAAAAGCTCTCTTTCATTTTTCAGACACAGTAAATACGTGTGAGGGGTCTGTCCTGCATCTCAATTGTGGTAAGAGGTGCAGTGTTACAGTTAATTAAAGTTCTGTTTTGTGTGTGTGTGTGTGTGTGTGTGTGTGTGTGTGTGTGTGTGTGTGTGTGTGTGTGTGTTTGTGTGTGTGTGTGTGTGTGTGTGTGTGTGCACAATTATACACTCTCCTGTGAAATATTTATCCTTTTTCAAATATATTTTTAAGTGCTATATAAAGGAGCAAGGGGATTTTTCAACAGTATTTCCTCTAATATTTGTTCTTCTGGAGAAAGTCTTATTTGTTTTATTTCGGTTAGAATAAAAGCAGTTTTTAATTGTTTTAAACCCATTTTAAAGTCAATATTATTAACCCCTTTAGGCAATATTAGTTTTGAATAGCTGAATTCCAGTGTCTTGAAGAATGTCTAGTCTAATATTATGTGCTGTCATCATGACAAAGAGAAAAGAAATCTCACTGAAGTTCGAATAGTTCTGACTTCAACTGCATATGCTAATATGATATTACTTTTATCTCCATGCAGACACAGGTACGATTCACATAACTGCTGCAAACTATGGACGTACAGACAAAATCACCTGCTCTGCAGGACGTCCATTTAATGAGGTTCAATACACCAACTGCCATACACCCAGTGCACTGGCTATTGTGTCACAAAGGTAATAATTGCTGCAAAACATGGTAATATTAGGTTCTTAAAAAAAAAAAACTAAAGTTTCGGTTAAGTCCAAATATCTAAAAATTCTTGGTAACACTTTATTTTGATGGTCCATTTGAGAATTAGTAGACTGTCTGCTTAATATCTGTTGATATATTTCTTCAACAGACATTTAACTGACTATAAGAAATTTTGCAAGTACATGTCAACTAACCCTACCCCTACGCCTCAAAAAATGATCTTCTTACTTAGATTTCTTGTCTTGTTTCTAGTCCAAATATCTAAAAACTCTTAAATCAAGCAGAATTTTCTAGACAAGCAAAACATACTGTCTTGTTTTAAGATAAAATATGCAAAAATGAAGTGAGTTTTTCCTTAAAACAAGCTAAATAATCTGCCAATGGGGTAAGCAAAATAATCTTATGTCAAAAGAAAAAACAAGATTAATTTGCTCACCCCATTGGCAGATTATTTAGCTTGTTTTAAGGAAAAACTCCTTTAATATTGGCATATTATTTGTGAAAACAAGACAATATATTTTGCTTGCCTAGAAAATGCTTCTTGATATAAGAATGTGTAGATAATATGACTAGAAACAAGAGAAAAATCGAAGTAAACAAAGCATTTTTTCAGTGTAACAGTCTACTTATAATTAAATGAGAATTAGTTGGCATGTAGATGCAATGTCATTTAAATTCAACAAACGGACCATCAGAATAAAGAGGGACGAAATTATTAAATCAAGAAGCATTTTCTTGAAAGCACAACATGTTGTCTTGTTTTGAGAAATAATGAGCCAAAATAAAGTGACATTCATCTTAAAACAAGCAAAGTAATCTGATAATGAGTAAACAAAATAATCTTAGGGTAAAACAAAAAACAAGATTACACCGCAAAAAATGCTTTTCTGACTTAGATTTTTTGTCTTGTTTCTAGTCCAGATATCTACATATTCTTAAATCAATAAGCAGTTTCTAGACAAGCAAAGCATATTGTCTTGTTTTAAGAAATAATATGCCAAAATAAAGTGAGTTTTTCCTTAAAACAAGCTAAATAATCTGACAATGGGGTGAGCAAAATAATCTTGTTTTTCGATTTGTGATGAGATTATTTTGCTTCCCCCATTGGCAGATGTTGCTTGTTTTAGGGAAAAACTTACTTCATTTTGGCATATTATTTCTTAAAACAAGACAATATGTTTTGCTTGTCTAGAAAATGCTTCTTGATTTGAGATCTTTTAGATATCTGGACTAGAAACAAGACAAAAAATCTAAGTAAGAAAAGCATTTTTTGCAGTGTAATGGGTCATTTTGACCCAAAGGATGGATTAGTCTATAGACTAATCTATTTATACAGTATTACAAGACAACAGGATGATTAATATTACAGCTAAATGTTATCTGAATGTGTTGTGAGCTGTCATTCATTTGCAGTTATTAATGTAACCTCATGTTTATGTCACATACAGCTGCAATGGCCGGAAAATTTGTGATGTTTCTGCAACAAATGAAGTCTTCACTGATCCCTGCTTCGGGACATACAAGTACCTTTCAACTCTCTATTCTTGCAGGCTATCTCTAATACGTGAGTATTCATTCTCCATAGTCCTGCTCAATAAATTTATGCTTCATTTTAAATATTTTTATGAACTTTATTTAGTGCACTTACATACTCATTTCAATATAAATGTTATTTTTGCTCTGCAAGACTGTACACTGCAGAAGATGCTTTTCTTAAGAGTTTTACTCCTGTTTCTAGAGCACAAATCTCAAATTCTCAAATCAAGAAGCATTTTCTACTCAAGCAAAAATATAGTGTTGTTTTCAGAAATAATGAGTCAATATGAAGCGAGTTTTCACTAAAACAAGCAAAAATAATCTGCCAATGGGGGAAGCAGAATAATCGTATGTCAAAGTGAAAACAAGATTGTTTCCATTCCCCCATTGGCAGATTTTTTTTGCTTGTTTTAAGGAAAACTCCAACCCGGGCTCATTGTGGAAACGTAGCCCCGCAGACGTTTCTGCGGACCGCGATTTACGTCCCGGGAGGTACGTATTCGAGCTTTTTTTGTTTTGGGAGTGTGCGGCGTTCGCGCCTGCGCCGTTCTCGCGCGAAAAGCCGCTGGATCGGGAAAAAAATTTAAAAAAAGCAAAAGCCCTCGTCTTGGATTTCGACCGTGTTTTCGGATCCCGCTGCGTTCTCGGCCTTATTTTTCGGATTCCGTTTTTCGTCTTACCTGATTTCCGGAACCCGCTGTTCCCCGGACTCGATCCCGGTCGTCGTCCACCGCGGCCGGCTCCGGCTCCTCCTCCTCGTCCGGGGCCTCCACTCCGCCGACGCAACGCTGTGAGCTAGGCGGACAAACTGATTGCGTCGGGAAAGCCCTCCACTCGGAGGTGAGCCGTCGGCCGGCGAGCGCGAAGAGGAGGGGCGGAGCAGCGCCACACCGCCCCACAGCGTTCGCTCGAAAAAAACCAAACAGGGCCTTTATGTACCTCCGGCCACGTAAATCGCGGTCTCCAGAAACGTCCGCGGGGCTACGTTTCCAGAATGAGCTTGGGTTGGAAAACTCGCTTCATTTTGTCTCATTATTTCTGAAAACAAGACAGTAATTTTATGCTGGTCTAGAAAATGCCTCTTGATATAAAAATATTGAGATATTTGGACTAGAAACAAGTTTAGCTAAAGAAATATAGTTGATTTCTGTAATAAATTAAGTTAAAGTAACAAAACCAGTTGTTGTCATGACTTTGTGATACAATTTGTTATAGTACTAACTAAACAGATTTATTTATTTATTTATTTATTTATACATACATGCATGCATACATACTGTACATACAGAGTTAGCTATGAAGCTAATTTACATCTGTAGTCCCTGGGCAGAAAGTTGTAACAAATTTAACAATGTTAAAAAGAAAAAAAAAGTACAATATACACTATACTGCAGGCCTGTAGCCAGCCTGGTAAAAGGGGTGGCTCTTTTTTTCTCAAGAAGTGGACCTTTTTGCAGTTACACACCTCAGTTTCTATTTAACTATGAGATTTAAATACTGCATTTTAGTGACTTTTTAAGCAGCACTTTTTTTTTTTGTTGCTGGATTAGCTAGTCAGATGTCATCATAACATTTTGATGTACTAAAAATATTTCCTAAACGTTGCAATAAAGAAAAAATTTTCATTCATTCATTCATTCATTTTCTTGTCGGCTTAGTCCCTTTATTAATCCGGGGTCGCCACAGCGGAATGAACCGCCAACTTATCCAGCAGGTTTTTACGCGCTGGATAAGTGGGTTATGTCATTTGACTCGCGTCACACTATTGTGGCTTTGAGTCTCCATGGGACTAGTTAGAGACTAGTTATTTAAAATGACACTTTATTACAATAAATACTAAATATTGATATATTTTAATAATTATATAATCAATATATTATATAATATTAAATCACATAAAATAATTAAAAGGACGCATTCTTGTCCGTTCGAACCACCCGAACCCCCCCCCCCCCCCGGCTTCGGGCATGTATTGTACAGTAATTAAATATTTTGAGTTTACCTTCCTCAAATTACTTCACAACATCTCTCTGTTTTCTGTAGGTTCAGTTACAGCCTGCGAAGGTACAAATGCTGTCCTGAAATGCGGTGAGTAATTTTTTTTTTATAGTCTTGACTGATAACGTAACGTGAGTTTATGATTATTAGTAAAAGTTATAGTTGTGATCTATAAAGTTGCTGTTTTTCAGGGGTAGGATCTTACATACAGGTTGAAAGCACTAACTACGGCCGAACTGATAGCAGCACATGCTCTGCTGGACGACCTGCTTCTCAACTTACCAAGACGAACTGCTTCAGCTCAACTTCAGACGCAGTGGTTGCTGATGCGTGAGTTTACATACATAACGCACAAAAGGACACATCAGTTTCAGGCTGGGAAATTGCACATCCACACAGGCCATCCTATGATAAATAAACCATCTGACGGTTTGCCAAACTGGTAGACAATAGAACAGTATGAAGTGTGATTCCCTTTCAAGGAACTTTGACAGTGCATCAAATATTGACACTATGGGTAGAGTTTCGATTCAAGGAAGTCCTGAAGCACATGTGAAGTCACTGCATTGTAATTGGCTGAAGTCTCCACGATGCGTGATGCAGCATGATGTCATACTAAGCTTATAAAGCCTGGGCTTGCTCTTACAGCTTCAACTTTCTTTGTCTTCACAAGCCTTATGACACTGTCCTCTTCACTCTCCAAAAACAATGTATTGTTTACGTTTATAGAACTTTTTTACCAACTGCGTGATGCTATCATGTCAATATGCTATGAAGAGTTAAGGCAGTTCTGAATGCAAAAGTAGGTTCAACCTGGTGCACCTAGTAAAGTGGCTGATGAGTGTATATTGACAGCATATTACCATAGCCTTTCAATGGGATCATCAAAAATGCTTCTTTTGTTTTTGTCCAGTTTCTAATCCAAATATTTACAAATTCTTGAATCAAGAAGCATTTTCTGGACAAGCAAATATAGCAAAACATATTGTTTTGTTTTAAGAAATAATGAGTCAAAATTAAAGTGGGTTTTTCTGTAAAACAAGAAAAATAACCTGAAATAACATTATTCTGCTCACCCCATTGGCAGACTATTCTGCTTTTTTAAAAGGAAAATCTCACAGAATTTTGACTTCTTGTTTCCTTAAAAGACAATATTTTTTGCTGGTCTAGAAAATGCTTTTTGGTTTAAGGATGTTTAGATATTTGGACTAAAAACAATTTTTTTTTTTTTTTTTTTACAGTAAGTGCTACTAAAGACCAGTCTGTCCCCTGACCACAATAAACAGAATTAAGTTTGGCTTTTATCATATTTTCTTTCACTATTGTCATTTTGTGGTGTAGATGTAATCGAAAGAACACATGCACAGTATCAGCCTCCAACGATGTCTTCGGGGATCCGTGTTACGTCACATACAAGTACCTGTACATCACCTACAGCTGCGGGTCTGGAAGTAAGTCATTGCAGAGAGCAATAAATCAGCATACTTGGATTCTATTTTTAAATCTGTTTTTTTATCTCATTTCTAAAGAACTCATCTAATTATTTTTTTTATCTTGCAGGTGCTCGGTTATGATCTTCTGGATTTGGACTCTTTATTCTCTGCCAGCATCTGAAACATAATCAATGTATTAAATAGTCAAGTTTATATGTATAATAGCATATGATGTTTGGCGTCTTTGGAATATTTGTAATAAACGTAGTTTGGTGCAGGTGGAAAGTATGCAAAAATATGATTTTCTTCCTTTTTTTTTTGTTTTTGTCTTGTTTCGAGTCCAAATATCTAAAAATCCTTAAAAACAGGAAACATTTTCTAGACAAGCAAAATTATCTGCCAATGGGGGAAGAGAAATAACCTTGCTTTCACTTTCATTAGACACTAGATTAGTGTTCTAACCCCATAGTCAGGTTTTTGAGCTTGTTTTAAGGAAAAATAACTTCATTTTGATTATTTATTTCTGAAAACCAAACTTTTCTTTTGTACTTGTCCAGAAAATGCTACTTGATTCAAGAAGTTTAGATATTTGGACTAAAAACAAGACCAAAACTTTTTTATTTCAGTGATAAATGTATTCTGTTCTCTCCTTCCTTCTTTTATTTAATGAATATTTCAACCGTCCTTTATTACAATCTGTATTGGGTGTTTCCTTAAAACAAATGCATTAAAAATGGAATCGAGGCAGAGTTCTTAAAGCGTGATAATAGTTTAGTTATAAAGCACTGTTCACACATTAGAGATCTTTGTTTCTTTTAAATCTTGTATTTTACTTTACATGCTTTACTAATGATCAATTCATTTGTTGTGGTAAACTGCATGAACACAGTAATGCAATATGAAGATGAATTAAAATAGCTGTTCTCTAGTCCAGTTGAAGTCCCAACCATTATGGGATGTTGATCTCTGCTCTGTCCACTTTTGATGTTGAAAATTCAACTCTACAGTTTAACAAAGTGACTTTTATTGACATTTTATTTGTTTTAATATTATTATGGATAAGAAATAATATCTAGTGAAATAGGTTTGCAAAATAACAGAAAATGTACTGCAGTTACAAGGTTTCTGTAGTGTAGTTAATATACAAAACCAACCCAGACAATACAGCACTGCACACTATTGCACATGACAATAAAAGTCACCTTTTCACACTTTTCAAGATTAAAAGTTGCTGTAAGAAAGATCAAGATCCCATAATGCAACTCAGAAACCGATATAAACAAAAAACAAAACATTAATCACAATGTGCGGAAACATTTACGGATATTTTTTACAGTGTATGTTAAGCTGTTTTGACCCAATGTACACTGTAAAAAGTGCTGTACAAAAACAGATGAATTTAAATTAAATTAAATATAGTTAGTAAAACAACAAAAGTACTGTCCGTTTTTTAACCAGGTCTTTATACTGTATTTTACAGCAACACTCCAGAAAATAGATCACGTCAAACTATTAAAAATGTTAATAAAAGTCACTGTTTTAAACCTCAAATCAACAGGTTGTTGGAGGAAAGATCAAGCTTCCATAATGCAATTCAAGAGCACAAATAATAATAATAAAAAAAAAAAACGACTAATCTATGGTCATTATTATCTTTTATTACGATTTTTTTACATTTGTTTTTAAAGTTTAATTGAATCGTCTGTAAAATAGTCTGTAAAACAACAGTAACAGTAAAAGACTAAAGTCTGGATGGGATACACGGCCAGCCAGAAGTGTGATATGCACATTAATATAGCAGCATTTTTTTATTACACTGTAAAACAATAATGAATATTTTTACAGTACTGTGACGGTTGGGGTGGGAGTAGAAGTTAATAAAATACAATTAAAGGGAAATTTAATAAATAATCTAAATAATTCTCGTTAACTTCCGGCCGCAACCATATCCGATCTAGCAACAACCCAGTAAATGTACTGGGAGTTTCTTTTACCAGATCTTTATACTGTAATTTACAGCAACCTTCCAGAAAGTATATCACTTTAAACTATTAAAAATGTCAATAAAAGTCACTATTTTCAACTTTTCAACATGCAGATGGAAGGAACAAAGATCAAGTTTCCATAATGCAATTTAAAAGCACAAGATAATTAATAACAACGACTAATTTACGGTAATACATTTTTTTTATTATTTATTTTTGAAAAGGTTTTTATTCCCAGGTTTTTATACTGTAATTTACAGCGACAGTCAATAAAATACATCACTTCAAACTATTTAAAATGTTGTAATGGAAATTTTGAATATTGATGATCATATATTGATGAAAATGAATATTCCCAGCAGACACAACATCATAAGACATTAGTATTAGGTTAGATTTAGATTGCTAGTGTCTAAGAACAACGTAATTTTGACCTTTAATAGCGATTTCAAATGACGTTGATATTTGGTTGATTTTAAGTTGTGTTGTAAAGTGACCAAAATTCAATGTCGAGTCAACATCTTAAACCAACGTCATATTAACCCGAAATACAGTTACTCATCAGGTATGGCAACCAAAATTCAACGTCTGATAGACGTAATTGTAGCAACATCAAGCTGTAACATAATTAGACGTTGATATTTGGTTGATTTTAGGTTAGAGATTGATGTCGGACTGATGTAGGGTTCTGACGTCAACACAATTTTCAATTCCAAATAAAAATGCGACGTCCCACGACATTGGGGTACAACATCAATCTGACGACAGGTTGCGTCCTGTGCCTGCTGCGTTATATATTGATATCATAGATTGATTATAATCATTGTGCCGTTACAGCCATGTATAATCTAAAATGCCTGTGAGTCAATCCTTGGTAGTAAATCAAGCACAAATATGTCCTAGTGAAAACAGAATAAAACTGGATAATTTTTCAGATATGGTAGATTTTTTGTTCTAGTTTTAACCAAAACCTCACTTCATTTAAAGCGGTTGGGTTTAGGTCAGCGCCCTCTAGTGGACTTGTGATCTGAAACGTACAACAAAACTTACTATTTAGGATTGTAATAGATGTAGACAGCGCCTCTAGTGGATTTGTCATTGAATCGTACTACAGAACTTACCATAAGTGACATTTCAGAATTGCATAAATGTAAACAGCGCCCCCTTGTGGATTTTTCATCTGAAATGGAAAACAAAACGTACCCTAAGTAACGTATTTCAGATTTGGAAAAATTATAGTGCACGCCCTTTAGTCTCTCTATTTCCTCCCAGATTACAATACAGCCCTACATTTAATTTCCAGTCTTTCATGTTTATTTAGTATTCACACGAAACAATCGAGGCTGTGCCAGTGTTCACAAGAACGGTGTTAATAATTAAGACTTTGCTATAAACCTCAGACAAAATGATATTTCATTCCTGTCATTATGAAACGCAAGCAGAAAGCCTTTCCCCCTTCATGTTTGGCCATGAAATTGAATATGATTGGACTGCGCTGTAATCATTATTTACACACTTCCGAGTCTCACAAAATACAATGAGCTCCCTTGAGAGTCGACTTGATTAGACTATTCTCGCAGACAGTCAAGAAACTGTGCCTCAAGGTCTTGTTTTTTCTTCTGCCTCGCTAATTTACCATAGTACGCCTCAGACATTTCCCGGCCTTCAGTGCGTTCAGAAGCTCCGGACGGTTTTCCTATAGCTTTATATATAGATCAGAGGCTGTCTGTATAATTTAAGCTGGCTATAGCAAGTTATTTTTGCAATTGTGTTTTCATTTCAGCAAGCATGGGGTTTTTTTGCATTGAAAAAGCATCATTAATTTACATAAATTAGATTGTGATCATCGCTAAAGAGATGTTATGATGTTTAATCAGTGCAACGTGCAGTTTATTTTGGTTTAATGGCTCGAATTAATTCAATGATAACAGATCACTAAAATAGTGAATACTTTGTAGTTATTCTTTAACACTGTGAACCGCTTTTACAACTTTATCTTGATCATTATCTTCACAGTTATTGTGCTCGGGCCTTTACTTTTGTTATTTGTGGATTTCATTATTGTTAAGCACATTGGTCAACTTGTGTTATTTTAATTGTGCTATACACTCACCGGCCACTTTATTAGGTACACCTGTCCAATCGTTCATTAAGCCAAATTTCTAATCAGCCAATCACATGGCAGCAACTGGAACCAAATGGTCAAGATGACAGTAACTCAAATAAGCACTCGTTACAACCGAGATCTGCAAAAGAGCATCGCTAAACGTGCAACACGTCCAACATTGAGGCGGATGGACTACAGCAGACCACACCGGGTGCCACTCCTGTCAGCTAAGAACAGGAAACTGAGGAAGAACCCATCTTCTGATGGATAACATGCTTGAATCATCTTAGACTGGGTTTTTGAACATGACAATGAGTTCACTGTACTCAAATGGCCTCCACAGTCACCATATCTCAATCCAATAGAGCAGCTTTGGGATGTGGTGGAACGGGAGATTGGCATCATGGATGTGAAGCCGACAAATCTGCAGCAACTGTGTGATGCTATCATGTCAATATGGAGCAAAATCTCTGAGGAATGTTTCCAGTAGCTTGTTGAATCTACACCACTAAGGATTAAGACAGTTCTGAAGGTAAAAGGGGGTCCAACCTGGTAATAGTTAGGTGTACCTAATAAAGTGGCCAGTGAGTGTGTAAACAAACAAGTCTTTGTCATCATCCTCTGGTCAAGCCTACTGCAGCGTCATGTAGAAAAGCTTTGGCTGACTTCTCACTAGCCTGATGTCCATTAAGTCATCCAAAACAACTCAGTGAGTCAGTGCTTCATAGTCTCTCATGGTCAAGGTGAATGATTCAGTCTCTGAGTGATATGGGAACCGCCAGTCACTTTCCAGTACAAATCAACAGGTCTTGACAGCCAGCACAAGGCATACAGGAATGTATTGATATTGTATTCAGCTGGTATCGATCGGTTAGTTATGACTGTTGTCATAAGAAGACTGATGTCTTCTCGCTTGCTCAGTTTTTCCTCTTACAAAATCTGCCATGTAAATAGCAAATGCACCATGGAGCGACGCAATTGACTCTTAAAGGGAATGAGAGACGAGACTCTGGTTAATGCACATTATGCTTAAAACACACCCAGAACTCATTAATAGAATAAGCACAACCCTGTTAGACCATGCGCCGGGGTGCAGAGCGTATTTTACCATTCTTAAAATAGCAAAAGTGGATTCAGACATGACTTTAATGCTTTTGCACCATGCGCTTTAGACTTTGCGCCTAGATCC